AATTTTTGTAAATTGTTAATTAAAACAATTAAAAAAAAAAAAAAAAAAAAAGGCAGTTGCTGAGAAGGAAGAAACTTGCTCAAGCACAGGTGAAAACTCTGTACTTGGGTGTACCAGGTGTCTATGTACTTAATTACAAGCTTGTTAGGACAACCTGAGTCTAATATCAGAAACACTTTTCCCCCCCTCCTTGCATTAAACTACAGGAGCCTTTGGCACTAGCAAGTGGAGCTTTGCCAGACTGGTGTGAGCAGCTAACAAGCAAGTGTCCTTTCTTAATTCCATTTGAAACAAGGCAGTTGTACTTCACATGCACAGCATTTGGAGCATCAAGGTAAAAAAGAACCAATACAACTACCTTTTTTTTTTTTTTTAAAAAAAAAGAAATATATGTATGGGGGAAAAATTGCTTATTCACAGAAGGACCTGATCCTAACAAGATAGATTTTGCTTGCCAAATGTAAAGCATTTTAGATAGCAGGAAAAAAAAGGAAGAAGATGGAAAACTTCAGAAAGACTTTTGGACACTTGAAACATTTCTTGTTCATTGTGTTAGAGGTTTTGTGATGACTAGCGTACCTTCTGTTTGATATTATTCAGGAAATTGCTTTGAAGAAATTTCAGTTTTCAGCTTGGCTAAAGACTTGCTTGTGTACCTCTAGCTAGGCTATATCAGGCAGTAATTCGACTGGGTTGCAGTTCATTGCATAAAGGAGTAAGAAACAAAATTAAAAAATTCTGAAAATAAATGTGAATTAAATGTTTTTTGAAAACGTACACTAAAGCACATATCTTTTATTTTTGTAGTTCCTACAGTGGTTTGGTGATTGTTTGCTTTGGTTCATTTATTTTTAATTCACTAAAGTCTTAACAAAACAGACAAAATCTAACAAATAGATGCTATTTTGGAAGTTAGTATTAGCTGCATAATGAAACTGTAACAAAAACCAGACATTAAAACATTTAAGCGTACCCTCTAAAGTGTTTCATTACCTAGGAATCCTTAATATTTTGATTGCAGCAGTGGTTACCTTGAGAGTATGTAGACAGTGTAAACCTTTTTGCTGGCTTACTTTTATGTAATGAGAAGGAAGAACTCGTTTTTATGGGTTTTCTTGGCTGGGTTTTTTGTTTGTTTTTCCAAAGAGGAAGAAAAGTATAGACAGTGAGTTGCAAAAATTACTGTTGTGTCTAATATGCAGTAGAAATGCCTCATGAATAATGTAAAGTGAGGCATTTAAAAAGAAAGAAAAAGGCAGAGAAGAAAAGGTACTGTCTTGCAAGACATCAGTTTAGATCTTCTTAACATGGAAAAATTGAACTTCTGTGGAAAAATGGTCCAGAAAACTGGACCATGTGTGTTTGGGTTTTTGTTTGTTTGTTTGTTTTTTGTTTTGGAAAAAGGTAATGTTTTAGAAAAACTGTGTTTTAAAGAGATCCTTCAGGAAATATTGCATGGTATTTACGTGATAAGTAAAGAGCTTTCTTAAGCTCTTAAAATATTGGAAATAGCTCTTAAAACTCATATACTGTATATGAACTCTGTGTGGACACACACATGGGCCTGTACACTCTGTTCTGTGTGTGTCTGTCATGACACTTGACCATACTTGCAAAACAACCAACAGATGGTAGCTTTGTAGATAGTTTATTGCTGCGTAGATGACAATACATACAAGAATTTTGAACTTTGACTTCATGTAAGTACTGCTATTAGAGGCGGCTGGTTTTCCTTCACTGATATGGGTCTATATGTGTATGATTGCACTTCAACTTTGGTTCTAGGTTTCTCTAACAAGTGTGTAAGTAAGTAAATCTTGCTGTGAAACTTGGTCAGTATCAATGGGGTGACATAAACTGCCTTGCAATATATCATGGAAGTTGTACTAAGTGTCTATAAACAGTTTTGAGCACCTGTGATTAAAAAGTACTACAGTAAATGCTACCCTCTGTTCATTCCACTGTAATATGAAAACCAGTAATTCGGATCAAGAATTATATGTTTTCATTGGTGCTATCTGTTACATCAGAAGTTATGGCTGGCCCTTCATAGTAATTAAAAATTACTTAGTTTGCTAAACTCATAAAGTACGAAGCAGCCCATCTCAGATATTTCTGAGAAATACTTTGGTATATAACTTCAAAAGAAAAAATAGAAGGAGGTAACTAGTGCTGAACAAGGTAACCTTTTCTTAGTGGCTACTTTCAATTTTTCGTGCTGGTAGACATTGAAGTTAAACATCTGGTGTGGTTTGGTTTTGTGGTTTTTTTATTTCCACCCCCCACCCCCCTCCAGAGCAATTGTATGGCTACAGAACAGACGTGAAGCCACTGTTGAGCGGACAAGGACCACAAGCACAGTGCGCCGTGATGAGCCAGGAGAATTCAGAGTTGGACGCCTCAAACATGAAAGAGTGAAAGTTCCACGAGGTGAATCCTTGATGGAATGGGCGGAAAATGTCATGCATATTCATGCAGACAGAAAATCTGTTCTAGAGGTAAAGCATATCTGCCTAGCAGAGCAAGGTTAGATAGCTATTTCTAATGTACTGGCCGGGATATTGAATATCCTGTTCACAGCCAACACTGAACATTTCACTAGGATTTTCTTTTATTGTTAACATTCCTTATGTTTTTCTAGGTTGAGTTTTTAGGGGAGGAAGGAACAGGCCTGGGTCCTACCTTGGAATTTTATGCATTGGTGGCAGCAGAATTTCAGAGGACAGATTTGGGTGCTTGGCTTTGTGATGACGACTTTCCAGATGATGAGTCTCGTCAGGTATATTTCAATTTGCATTTTAAACTGAGTACTTGTATAAAAGAAAAATGAACTAGATATCCAGGAAGAACACATGATCAGTGAGCAGCCACTCATCATGGTCAATAATGACCACTCTGCTCCACAGCTTGCTTGCTTACCTATTCTCTTTTTAACAGAGAAGTAGAGTAAGTTAAACAGCACAAATACATAATTAAATTCACCTTTAACAATGTCAACTTTTTTTCTGTGTGTCTTTTAAATCAGGTTGATATTGGTGGTGGACTGAAACCCCCTGGATACTATGTACAGAGATCATGTGGACTCTTCACAGCACCATTCCCGCAAGATAGTGATGACCTTGAAAGAATAACCAAACTCTTTCATTTCCTTGGAATTTTCTTGGCTAAATGCATTCAGGACAATAGACTTGTGGATTTACCCATTTCTAAGCCTTTTTTTAAACTCATGTGTATGGGGGACATCAAAAGTAACATGAGTAAGTTGATATATGAGTCACGGGGTGACAGAGACTTGCACTGTACTGAAAGTCAGTCGGAGGCTTCTACAGAAGAAGGGCATGATTCCTTGTCGGTAGGAAGTCTGGAAGAAGACTCCAAATCAGAATTTATTCTTGATCCACCAAAACCTAAACCTCCTGCCTGGTTTAATGGAATTTTAACATGGGAAGACTTTGAATTAGTAAATCCACATAGAGCTAGGTTTCTAAAAGAAATTAAGGACCTTGCAATTAAAAGGCGTCAAATTTTAAGCAACAAAAGTCTGTCAGAAGATGAGAAGAACACAAAACTACAGGAATTAATGCTGAAGAATCCATCAGGTTCGGGGCCTCCACTTAGCATAGAAGATTTGGGGTGAGTTTTCATATTTGTTTCTAAATATGCAAACAGTGTTGTGTTAGAGACAAATGTCAACACGTATAATTAAAAATGGAGATTTCTTCATTTTAAATAGTATCATTGCAAAGAGGAATCATTCGAGATGCAGCAAGATCCAGTTCGCCATCTGTAGCTATATTCTTGTTCCTTAGTTTGTGGCTTTTCTCTTCTCACTTGCTCCATTTTCTGATGTTTAAACTTAAATGTGGCTGCACTGCAATGCTGCATGACTCTCTAGGAACACCCAAATACTTGTAAAGACCTTTAGAAGAGTGAATCGGTAATTTCTTTGCTATTGATAACTATGAAATTTATCAGGTTTTTCGGAGAGCTTTTAAAGAGGACAGATTGAAATTTCAGATTGTATTAATACATGCTCTGCGGTATTTGAATCCATGTTAAAAAGAACATTTGCTAACTTTTAGCAAATGTTAAAGACACAAAAGTGCTCATACCTGTGTAAACTTGTGTCAGGATGTCATCTTTTGTAGTTTTAAATTATTTCCTTTGAAACAATAGTCATTTTTCTACCATTAATATTTATGGGTTATTTTTTAAAATCATGTTGTGCCACAAGGATTGCCTAGTTAGAGTTCAGCAATTGCTTATGGCCTTGCGGACTGTAGCATGGCTTGTTATAGCGAGAAAGCAAGTAGCACCATTGAAGGGCCTAAATGTATAGTATGTTAAGTGGCTCCATAACTGTTAGTGCTGGAAATTAATGTAAAGGATTTTTTGAGTTTGTGAACTGAATTGAACAGTTTGAGTAGTTTTGAAGCTGGTAACTTAAGGATATCAAACTCTATGAAATTTTCAAGGGTTATCAAATCCAAATAAACAGTGGGCGAGTACACGCATGTGCATACCATAGATTTGAAACGTGTTATCTGTGTAGTCCATTACTGATTGTAGTTCTGTACTGTGGTACCAATGTTCATGTATACACAAAATGGTCCACAAACAATGGTTTGAAATGTAGTGGAGATGCTTTCAGGTGTGTGGGGTGCAGTTTATAGATCTGGTGTGTTTGCAAAAATAGTAGCAGATTTGTTTTGCAATTAGTAACTGTCTTTGTATTTTGAAGTCTAAATTTTCAGTTTTGCCCTTCATCCAAAGTATATGGGTTTACAGCTGTGGATCTCAAGCCAGGTGGTGAAGATGAGGTAAGGAAACAACCTACCTTTACAGTTCAAACAGCAGTTAAATTTTTACTGTCTAAGCAGTAACTAATGCAAAATGAATTCTTACAGTATTTATTGTCCTTGCAGACTGTAACAATGGATAATGCAGAGGAATACGTAGATCTCATGTTTGACTTCTGCATGCATACTGGTATACAGAAACAGATGGAGGCATTCAGAGGTAATTTTAAATATGGTAGAATGTATATGCAGTTAGGTGGCCTAATTGATGTTCCGGGTGTGCTGGCTTAAAGTGGTGGCATAGAATGGCTTTAAAAACCAAACTTTTTAAATTACGAATAGATAAGATACTAATTTCATAACACCTTTGCATTAGTTATGTCATTTTTAATCTTGAAGAGGTTCTGTTTACCTTAATTAAGAAACTGTTGATTGATTCTAGTTTGATTAAAATAGAATTGAAATGCTGACATTATTTTATAAACATTCTCTTGACTTAAGTTTATAACTGTATCTTGTGTAAATTTAAAGATGGCTTCAATAGAGTCTTCCCAATGGAGAAGCTGAGTTCCTTCAGCCATGAAGAAGTTCAGATGATTCTTTGTGGAAATCAATCACCTTCTTGGGCAGCTGAGGATATCATCAATTATACTGAACCTAAACTGGGATACACACGAGATAGGTACTTACATTCCAAGTGATTTGAAAATAGTAGCTAAAAGGTACATTCTGGACAAAATGTCCAGAACCTTCATTAGATGAAGATGCCAAATTGGATGGGATTGGTGGTCACTGAAGAGCAAGTGATTGTCTAAAACTACGTGAAATAACCGTGTGTGTTACAACAGATAGGTTAGAGGGTACTTGGTGTTTTTGTGATGAGAGAGGATAAAAAAATATAAAATATTAAAATGTGAATAACTAGTGGAAATGTAATGGCAGCTAACTAATACAGGCTATTAGAAATAGCATGTTAGAATTTTTACTTTCATCTTTGGTGGTGGTTATAATTTCTGTTCAGTTCGGTATAGTTGTTTGTCCCTTATTTCTTGCTTCTTCAAGTGTAGTTAAAAAAGCAAATGTACTGTGCAGGGAACAGATCTACTGGCGATTGGCTATCAGGAGGTGGTCTCGATGTTTTGGGGTTTGTCGCGTTTGAGGGTTTTTTGCTGCTTGTCATGTTTGGTAGCAATAGTTAGCAAAGTAGCAAAGTTACTTCCAGAACTGTGTCAGTATAAGCATGCTGAAGGATCCTCATCAGTCCAAGGTGCTGTGTGGAGCAATTCTTCTATTGACCCTGCCCTGCGTGCAAAGATGCAGCTGAGATTACAGTGCCTGATACCCGAGGGCCTGTTTCAGCAGGCTGTGCTTTTCTTCATGCCCCCTCTTCCCACTCACTTTCTGGGCTGATATGGATGAAAGTAGTGGTACCTGGAGGATTCCTTGAAGATCTACTGTAATCTGTTACATTTTTCCCATTTTTTTTGCATGAGGGCCTTTAACAGGATAGAAATGAAATCATATCTAAATTGAAGTGGCTTTATACTGCAGAAGTGGTACAGAAAAAGTCTTAAGATTGTAGTCAGTTGGGTTCTTTTCATAGAATAGGTTTGAGCTCTGTCTACTTCTCTACCCATTCATACACAAGATACCCAAATAACATTCCAAGATAAGTATGGAGAAAAGTTCCTATTTGGCTACATTTTTCTGTGTAACACTGAGCAAGGAGATTAAGGAAGTATTTTTATGGGTTTTCTGATGTTTTATTCTTAACTCAATATTGAACAGGCACTACAATCTTAAAACAACTGCTTTGATGTGACTAGTGATGGTAATTGTACTGTCTCAAGTCAAGGGAAATTAAAAAACCACTCTCTTGTAATGTTATCATAACTAATTATTTTAATTTATTTTTAAGCCCTGGATTCCTTCGATTTGTGAGAGTCTTGTGTGGTATGTCTTCGGATGAAAGGAAGGCTTTTCTCCAGTTCACCACTGGTTGTTCAACACTCCCACCAGGAGGACTGGCAAACCTACATCCCCGGCTCACTGTTGTACGCAAGGTACGGCTTCTTCAGAATGGAATCGTTGCTATGTTAGGAAAGAACACTGGGTTTTGGGGGTTTGTTGTTGTTCCCCCCTTCCCCGACCCCGGTTTTTAATTTATGCCACTATGCTAAGCTTTCAGTACTAACCTCTGTTTCAGGTCTGTTCTCTGACTTCGTATTTGAATATAAAAGAATTAACATACATATAAAGTAAATATATTTGTAAGTTGGTCTGTAGCTTCCCTGATCCTGCTGTTCCTTGACAATTGGTGTTACATATGCAGAGGACCTTAGGACTTTTAATTTCCATATTGAGTGCTGTGAGCAACTGCAGTAAAAAATGTTCTTTCTTGTCCTCAGGTTGATGCTACAGATGCAAGTTACCCATCTGTGAATACCTGTGTGCATTATCTAAAGTTGCCTGAGTATTCTTCTGAGGAGATTATGAGAGAGCGTCTGCTAGCTGCTACAATGGAGAAAGGCTTCCATCTCAACTGAGCCGCTGACTGCAACGTGGGACAAGAGAAAGTGTTTTTTGATACTAGCGAAGCCTCTTGTGTTTGTGTGCAAAAAATATGATCTCCACGCTGTGCTCTGATGAGACTTGCCTTTTTTTTCACCTGTGAGGCTTTAGGAACATGTGGAATACGTTTGTTAGCTGCTAATGACAAAATAAATCCTTGTAACTACACAGCCAGCAAGAAATTGGCACAGAACACTGTGTGATGCTTCAAGGGCTTGCACAACTGGAAATTAAGGTGGTTCTGTTTGGCTGTTCCAAAGAACAGATCATCAGATTTTCAGTGTTCACTGACACAAATTTCTAACAGTGTATTTGTGTAAAGTTTGTCATTTAATACCTTGTACACTACAGTTGCCATCACTGATCCCTGTTTTGCTGGCTTTAAGCTCAGAAACTTGCTTCCTTAAAACTTAGAGTTAATGGGCATCTCCAGCTTTTTCTTTTTTAATGGTGCCTGCACTATTGGAGTATTTTAGTGGGTTTTTGCATATAAACATGCACAACCTTTTTTTTTTTTCCTTTTTTCTTTCAAGTGGGAATATATTTTGATTTCTTAAATGCCCTGCTATAAAGATCAAATCCTTAAGTGTGTTTGTGCGGCTCGGCAATAGAGCTATTAAAAAACACTGGTTCCTAGTGCAAGGCACACTTAAAGCAAGTTTTACTTTGGTTGTATTTTCTTTGTATATTATAAACATTTATTTAACTTGTTGCAGTTTGAAGTTTAAAAAAACCACCTGGTATGTAAGCTCAAAAGTAATCATTAAAATGTTTGCAACATATTAAACTGTCTCCTCTGAATACTTCATTAATACTTCTTATGTTACTAAATCTCTGTACGTGTTCTGAACAATCTGCCATACTTTTCAAGGTTTAAAAGAACTACATGGCAATAACTGATCTCTCAAACTCATCTCTGTGCCCAAATCTTTTCAAAATTACACCGTGCAACTTTTTAAGAACTCATCTGGCAGTGATAACGCTGCATGCGGCAGTTTTTGGTGCTCTTCAGTGGGCCCATGTGACCTGAGGTTACAGTTCTTCATTACATTGGAATAAAAACTGGGTCAGATGATGCAGCTGATTCAGCTTTCCTTGAGATGGAGTGCCTGTCTTGGTTTCAGCATGTGGTGAGGTATTTATTGGTAAAAAGTGGCTTACAGTAACATAAAGCGAGTTGCTAATATGTCTTTAAAGATATTATTAAGTGCTTGATACCAGAAAAGAAATTACTCTTTTAGTTGAATCTGCGTGCTAAGTTTTGTTCTGTGCCAGTTCTCTTTGGTAACAAATCTTTGCTTGGACCGCTGCTGAGGGAGGGCTTGCCAAAAGATTCTGCCTCTCGCATACAAATCGGGTTGGTGCCAGGTTTGTTTTCATGGCATTATTCATAGGACTTCAGAGGCATCTTCTTTGAAATTCTCCCTAATGCATAACTGAAGGGGAATCTCCACCCCCGCATGCCTGTGACTGTTGTGCTTCAACAAAACAGTTGCATAAACCTTGTGTACGAGTATCTGCTCCAGATCCAGCGTCAACTTGTTTTGCTGAATGCGTTACTATTTTAAAGCTACGTGGACTATTCTCCCACACAACACTTCACTCTCGGCTCCTTCGACCCTAGGTACAATTTAGATGTGACTGTTAGGTGCTTTCACACATAAAGCGCATGCAGATAGGCTCTTTCAATGTCAAATTATGCCTGGTGCTGGTGTGGAGGTGATGAAGAAGGAGCCAGATACCTTAATTCTAGAAAGGTAAGTGAAATTAAGCTTGGATCGCTGACTCTCACAGCGTACTACAGAGGTGTGAATCGGCATGTTGTATGCCTGTGAATACAAGTTAGCGTAGGTAGCTACATCCTCCTGCTCCAGAAGGAAGGTTTGATTCGGTACCTAGCTGGTACTGAGAAACTTGCCTATCTTCTGTTACTCCTCTTTTGTAAATGTTTTAATCATGATGCATGGATAGAATATACGAGGGGAAAAAAATACACTGCTGTGCCAAAATAGGCAAGATTGTGTAATTTATGAAGCCAACATGACAAAAGATGATCCAACTTTTTATTTTAATGATCTTTTATTAATGTTGTAATTTGTAAGTGCCAAATACTTCGTTACAACTTACACAGTATGCAGGGAATACTAAATATATCTGTACTTCTGTTATTTAAATTTCTTTTGTAACCATGACTTAACGCGGAAAAGGGAGTGAAACCAGCTTTTTGATGAAAGCTGAATCTAGTTTAAAAGTGGTCATAAAAGTTACAGAACTTTAATTTTGTATGAAAATAAAAAAACTCAAGTTGGTGCTTAAAGGAAGCACTGAAACTCAATTTGAATTTAGATTTCCATATTTTCTGTCTTCTCCTAGGTGTGGCACAATGCTACGTAATTCAAAGTGATACCCAGATGGCCATGTGTAGGTTTGCATGACTTTATCTCCGGTCAATTTTAAAAAATGACGACTGTTCTAGACAGATTTCTGCTGTGTCAGTAAAGCTGTGTCTGAAAGTGAAGGTTCCACTTCATGTTTAGTTGTATCTTTCCACTAGGTGTGTAGGGTATAGGAGAAACAGGAAGTATCTTGCAACTAATTTGAATATTGCATGAGTCGGTCTTACGACATCAGAAAACTGCTGTCGGGACGCTCTCGATGGTGTCACTGTCTTTCAGAAAATGCCGTAGTGAGTCTTGCATCTTCCTAGCTTTCTGCCACTTTGTCAAGCACAAACAGAGGGGCGAGAATGCGGTTCCTGTTTGTTTCCACGATGCAACCATTTAGCACCATTTCATCCAAAATGATGTGCACTCTGTCCAAATTGAACATGATCTAACATTTCAAGTTAAGTATATTTTGAACACCATGAAGACAATTCAGAGAAAATCTTAGGCACCTTAGTGTTTAATCAAAATTTACAAAAATAGGTATTTCTTAATTTATTCTAATTTCTTTGGCTGTTTATTTTAATAGAGCTATGGAAACAGTTCAACTAACACTTTTTTCTGACCACAGAGATGTCAAAAGCTTTTAGTAGAGAAGTTGAAGCCCCAGCAGTATCCCATCCTGGAAGATGACCACATAGTAGTAAAAGCAAGGTAAACTTCAACCTAGGTGCAGGTCGTTAATTTTACTGTCTGGCTCAGTACCACGTAGTGTTTGAATATAAAATGTTATCAAGGGACAACAACCGCGAATGTGAATGCAAATATTCTGCATTTCTTAGAAAAGTAACTGTCAGATTCTTAAAATTTGATTCTCAAATTTTCCTTACCCAAAGTTACTAACACTGTTTGATCTGCCTGAATATAGCTTAAGAGGAATATGCTGATATGTAAAGTTTACTGATCTAGCGATAGATCTCATAAAGAAGAGCAAAGGTAAGTAAATGGTTCATATTTTAAATACTTTAAATACTTTCCAAAAGATGTTTATAATCTCTAATGTTCACCTAATGGAAAATAATCTGAAAAAATATGAATTCGTACTGTTGTGATGTATGAAATTTGTCCATAACCATGTCTGTCTTTCCTTAACATTATCTAACAGCATCTGTCTCCAAAAAAATAATATGACAGACCTTACTCCGGTATTAAGCGGCAGGCATTCTTCTGCATATGTTAGTGTTTTGTGTATCCACCGAACAACTGCAAAGGGTTACTTGGTGAAAAAAGACTCTTAGGTTGCCATTTATCACTGGAACCTGAAATGGAAATAGGCATAGCAAAAAAGCCTGCTGGGTACATCTGTTACGCTGCACTGACATGCATATACACGTACGGAGGCGTGAATAACCCTTCATCTGCCTTGCTCTCCACCTGTTGCTGCTCTTTAAACAAGTTCTTCGCTGTGCTCAACAGCTCAGCTTTGCCTTAATTTTGCTCCTTCTAGTTCTTGCCTGTGTATTGAGGAGTACTGCAGTGGAGCTAGCAAGATACTTCACACTAACTTCTATATACATCTTTCAACACTTTTTTCCAACTTCGATATGAGTCTCTTGAGTGCCTTCTCTGCCCATTATGCTATTTTTGACGCTACGGTTTGAGCTCAGGAAGATGGTCTGGTTTTGCTCTAGTCCTTGCATTTATGTTAGTGGTCTTCTGTTCTAATCAGTGGAGTTGCAAGAGCCAGGTTTTTGGAGGCATCAACATTTTCCTCTGCTCAGCGTGATGAAGCTTAAGTCTCATTTTTTGAACATGACTCAGGCATTTAAGAGGACTACTCTGTCTCATGAGTTCTACTGGCTCTAACTACAGTGGTCTGCCCTACTGCTTCTGCCAAAGAGCAGGAACAGGGGGAGTACTGAACTGTGCAGGACAACAGCTGAGGAGCCACATAGTTGTATGTATTTGTTCCTCCTAGGTGGTAAATGCAAGTGGTGGGGAGACACCACCTTAAACCACCACAGCTGCAATGACACGAGCTCACAAAAGTGAACTGAGTTCAAGAAATGGATTTAAGTTAAGTAACACTGAACATCCCCGTGCCTAGTTTTTTCGTACCTGGCTTTGAGAAGGGAATTCGTTAATCTGAGTTAGGTGCCTTATTTTCCCTGCAATGACTGGTGAAAGCCAGACCCATCAAATAATTCACAGGTTCTAGAGAACCAGGGCTGAAGCCAGGACTTGGGAATGCAGGGAGGGATTTTTCTGTGGTCCTCTCTCTGACTCAGAAGCCCAAGTCACTACTTCAGGTAATGATGACTGGCTTGGTCTCTTAAAATGTCACAGTAGCGATGCTGCCTGCCTGAGCCTGCCCTCAGCCTGGGGAATTCCAAACCCACCTTTCTCCATGGGCAAGCTTAGCTGAGTTGGTAGCTGCACCTGCTGCCTTCTACTTAAGATTCTCCTGCTGTCTATAAAAGTTCTTGAGTATGATGGTCAAGCCTGGTGATGGGAGAAGCTTAAGTTTTTGTCCCTGTCTCGGTGATTGCTTCTGCTGCATACGTTAAAGCAAGAAGAGGGGCACAGAGCATCTCCTGTGTGTGACCACCCTTCTAAAAAGATGAAAAGTAGAAGCTTGAACTTGTTCAAGCTGAACTGTTGGGTGAACCTGTATGTTCAAGTTGATGAGCATTCAGCTAGCAGGCTGTCGCCTTCCTCTGCTGTTCCAAATTGCCGTGAGCACTCTGGGCTGAACTCGGTGCTACTGTGTATTTGTGCTGAAGGGTAAGCAATTGTACCGCTGCTCCAACAAATGCATTCTGCTTAACCAAGAGCACAGCATGCCTAGGTATGTGTACAGAATTCAGGCCCCGCAAATAACTTTACTACTAGTTACTGTTATGTGAGGAAGAGAAACTACAGCTGTCAACAGGATCTTGGGTATGTCCATGGTTCATCAGATAGCTTCTAATTTGCTGGTCTAAACTTAACCACCTAATTTAATTCTAAGTTGTATTTTAAATACCAGATGTCTTCCTGAGTCTGACCGTAGGCCTAAATTGCCTCTGAAAATCAGACTTGGGCCTTTCAATACTGAGGAGCGGTACTGTTCTTGAAACTTCAATGGTCTCAGTTTCTGTGGTTCCAGAGACAAAGGCAATTGTTCTACTTTGCTTGGCAGATGAAAGACTTGAGACAAATTTCTTCCTATGGTATACTTTTCAAGTAAATCAGTCTTTACACAAATAGTTTAATCTGAGAAGTTAGGATTTCTTTATTCCAGTAACGTGAGAATTTTTAGGAAGACAGCTCTTCTGCTGCTGCTTAGTTCATCTCTGGCACTGCTCTACACAGGGCAAGAGGATCCGTTAATGAAGTAAGATAACATTCCATTCAGGTTTCAGCAAGTGATAGCCAGCTCCTCCTGGTTTTTAATTTTTACACTCCACCACTGATTCACAGTGCCTCAGTTCCCACAGTGGAGCAAGAGCTCCCATCTCTCCAGGCCTTCCTCTTCGAGAGTCCCCAAGGATTTAAAACTCAAAAGACTGGAACAACCAGGGTCAGTGATGATGCAGCAACTTGCCACTCCTACCTTATTTTTCTGCATCACCTTGTTTTAAATGTTTTCTCAAACACTTTGCACTGCTCTTCCCCCTGCTGCATTTCCTGAAGAACTGATACCACATTGAAGGAAAACTGCACACATACCAATAAGTATCTTGCAGCTGCTCCACTCAAACCCAGTATGGTTAAAGGAGATGTCAATTCACCTCCAGGGCCATTCCAGGTTATTTCAAAATTGGCCTACTCCATTACAGAAAACTTAGTGGTGTGATTTCTGTCCATCTGTAACCTGTTAAGCTCTCAGTCATCATTCCAGAAACAGTGATTTCACCTGCAGTTTGACTAGGGATATTAATACCATTCTGGAAAGATCTGTCATCTTGACTTTTGGAGGGTCTCAAAGCATTCTTTACCGGCAACCTAACATCCAGGCTTCCTTTCTTTCGGTTCCCTTCCACCTCCCTTTACCATGCTGTTCTTGGCAAACAGCCAGATTGCACAGGGAGCAACCTTGGCTTCTTTCCCCTTCCTGTCAGTCTCGTGACTATCCTCTGCGGTCCCATCTCGTCATACGCGCACCGCTTAGCCATTCAGGGCTGAAGGCCCTGCCCAGTGAGGCGTATCTGTCTCTGATCCTCAGGCAAGGCTCATCCTCCCCACCTGTCACTTGTTTGGCAAGTGACCCCAAATTTCAGGGTTTAAAGCCCTGAAGTCATAGATCCACACCCAGCTGAAAAGCAGCACAGCACACCACGGAGCAACTGGCAACAGGAAGAAGCTATATTTGGTGTGTGCGCTGCCATGTGCGCCACCCAGAGCTGTCATTTAAGGCCCTGCTTCAAGCAAGAATCCTGGCTGCCCACAAAGGAGGATTAAGGGACTTTCACTAGATCCATGCAGAGGCTAACAGGCATTTTTAAACAACTAGGCAGAAGAAAACATGCATTAATCTGTGCACTTGTACAGATAAAAGTCTGTAATAATAAGTTTTCAGAGCACCCAGATAGGAAATACTCCTAAGTTGTCAGCCTAGGCAAAAGGCAAGCCCTTACCATCTTTGGTTTACGGATTTTAGTCAATGCTGTTGTGGCTGCGTACCTAGAGGCAGAGGTAAATGGCGGTAGAGGTAAATGGCACCTACTACAATTGGTATTTACATGTTACGCTGGCTTTTGGTAACTTTAAGAGCTGCCCTTACTAAAGACATTAATGGTACTTTCTACTCTCACAAACAGTTTTTATTATGGCACATACATACTAAGAGGAGGTAAATGTGACACAATCTTGTGTCTCCTTCCCCGAAACATTATCGAGGCAGATAGTTATGTCGGGGAGAGGGGGAGGAGGAGGGAAGGAAAAAGGCACATTTAGGACTTGTATGTGATAAATAACTTCTTCATACAGAGACATTTTTAAGATATCTCAGGATTTTCCAGGCAAGTAATTAAGGGTGTGTACAGGCTTACGAGATGATAAAGTGCAGCCAACACCTTGTGATCAGGTAACACACCCAGGAGCACGAACAAAAAGCTTTGCAGATTACAGCACAAGTACTAATGGGGCAGATGGTTTGCTACTGAATATACAGCATTGCAAGACTTTGATTTCCATCCTGGACATTTGTCTTCAACTAATGATTAGTTGGAGTTGCTTCTTTTTTTAATCTAGAGTCACATATTCTGACTTTATCTTTGCTAACATTTGCTTTAAGTAACTTCTGGTCTATCTAATGGTAGGCAAATCTTAGGCACTGAAACCCCATTTAGTGCTTTTTGACCACTTCTTCCTCAAAGGACTATGCTGATGTTAAGTAGGAGACAAATGGTGCCTTCAAGTTCTGTGCTATTCTAGGATATTCGCTCCTACATTGCGGTGAATGTCTGCCAAAGTTTGAAAGGTGGCTGATCTACCTGATGTGAGTACATGTCCCCCTACATCACAGACCTAGAGGGAAACTTTTCCCTTCATAAACAAAAATTTTAAGCTAATCCTTATAGGTTTCCATTTCATCCACCTACTTTGCAGTACAAATGGAAGTGTATCCTTATAAATTCTCAGAATAAATTCATCATTCAATTTTCTTACTACTTAAATGCACTGTTTGCTGAAAGTGTTATTCCATGGGGGACTGAAAAATACAGTTGATTCACATAAAGTATTCCCTGTATCAAAGTTTTTTATCTATCCTAGGAGCTGCAGCAGCTAGTTGCAATGGAATGTAATGTTTTTTTTGGATCAAGACAACATTCTTCAAATGCTTGGTCCTAGAGCACCCTGTCTTCCCCCTCCCTTCCCACACAGAAGTGTCTGTTTCTTCCCTAAGTTAATAATGTGTCTTCAAGTAAGCTTTGCTTCACCAGTTCAAGCAACAGAAACATCAACTTTTTGTAAATTTTGAAACTCCCATCCTTGCCAGCACATAGTTCCCTACAAAGCTGCTGTGTGGTTAACACTCATGTTTTTATAGTCTCTTTGTCATCATCGCACCAAGAAAGTAGCTCCTACACCACGCGAGCTGGAGTTTTAGAGCTACATAAACTCCCACCCACTGATTTCATACACAGAAGTGAGGCTCATCTAGTGCTATCAACACGTTAGGGAGCAACCCCCTTAGCACAATGTCAGTACTTGTTCATTCTGCTGGCCCAACACCACTACTTATAGATACCTTAGAACATTTCAATTGCATGATGGTCTCAGCCTCTAGATTTAACTGGGGTTTGCTCTGTGCTTGAGTGAATAGCCTTCAATGATTATGACCTATTTTTCATGGTTTTTGATTTCATGTGATTTCCTACGGGGTTTTTTTTTCATGTTAGTAAACGCTACTTTCTATATAGAATAGCCACTATCGCTACTGAAATAAACTTCCTGTGGATCCGTACACAAAAATAATAGCGCAGAGACAGGAAATTGCGACAGTCTCCTGCCAGATGCTCCATATACAAAGATTCTGTAAATACTGCTTGGTGTTCACTGCTACAGACCTTCGGCCGTACTTCCTCCATCAGGTATTTTGCATCCAAGCTAGCTGTACTGAATGTAAGAGCGTAAGACTGTTTGGCAAAGGAAATGGTTTAACCCCAGGTGGGGATATTATCTTACACACTATGAAAGGCATATTGATGGATTATTGCTTGCACTACCTTAACATCTAAGACAGTTGTAGTCCAGATCCTATATAGTTTTTCTGGGCCTGCTATTCAAGCTGTTGTCAAAAATAAATACAATCCTCAACAGCCCACTTCATCATTACACCTCTGCTTTACATTTAATGTTGAGGGTATCTCACTTTATTTCAACTATTTTGCATATCCTCTCAACTTATGAAAAGCTCTTTTTCCTAAATGGGAGAATTATTTTGTACATATACAGAAGTGTTTTATTTTAAAATTGTTCCTGAAATGTGTAACATAAAAGTGCATTTCTGAATGGCAAAATTATGTACATCATGCAAATGTCATACATGTTGAGGAGAGACATACCAGGTGTGAGCTTTTCCAATATTATTTCCAGTACTATCAAATAAGGTATTAATACACAAATATTTATATTCACACCCTCATGCAGACAAGACCCATGTAGAAGATTAATTTCTACAGGAGTCATTTGGACACTGTATTGCACCCATTGCAAATGCTAGTGTGAGCATATAATGCAACTTCTGTAAACAATGCAGATTACCACCGTATACAGAAGCTTGCTGGATATGCAGGAGCCTTTCTCAGCTATTAAATGGGCTACCGGTGATAACTGTAAGGGTGTAACTACAGGCAATTCCTCTCGGTATGAAAACAATGACCAGAGGCAGGCAGAATTTAGAATTATCAGTACTCCAAACAATCTGAGATAAAAAAAAGAATCAGGTAATTGCAGACTCAAAGTACACCATATGGAAACATATGGGGCTATTTTTATGTATAATTACTGAATAGGTCAGGTTAGCCTCTAATTCAGCAAAGATCAGGCACAAGTACACATAGTTCTAATCCTTAACTATAATAACTGAATACAAAAAATGTAGTTAGACAATTGCTCAGAGACCTTAAGAGTCCCTTCATGCTGAAATTCATTATTGCTGCTTTATAATGTAAGTGAATTTAAGAGTGTTATACTGATACCACAGCATTTTGTGAATTTCAGGAAGGAAATACAGACAGGATATATACATATACATACACATATATTTAAGTTCAGTAAATGAGACAGAGTTCCAGCATGTAGCAAGCATTAAAATATTTACAAAAGTGAAATTAATTATTTCCTTTTGGTTTTTTTCAGTAAAGAAAGAAGCGAGAACAATTACAAGAAAAATTACAGATTTTTTCTATGTTCTTCATATGTACTACTTCTTAAATAAGGTAAATAAACCAAATTACTTCAAAGTATTTGATTCTGGGGTGGAACTGTGTTTCAGGTGTATAACTGAAGCCTCTTTGTACCAGTAGATCTGCATTTAACCACCAACAAACACAGGCATAAGGATTGCTGGAGCAGAGTGAGCAGGCAGTGGGATTGGAAGAACTGAGGAGGAAGACAACTGTTTGCACTACATTTTCCTGGTTTAATTTTCTTTTAACTCAGTATTGCATTTTATTAACTTGCTATTTGTGTTTAATTATTCAGGACTGTATTTTAGCATTTAGTATTTGTTTGTATTTGGTTTTACTCCATTTTTTAAATTATGTAATTATATATACATGAAAATACAACTCGGAGGGGGGAAGGCAGAGGGGGAGAAAAAGATAACCGTGGCAATGCCTGGTTTCCTAAATTTCCTCCTCCCAGGCCCATCTCTCTTTCCGTTGTTATAGAAAGTAAAACTTACCTAGACTTTCATGAAGTAAGATCAAAGCGCAAACCTAATCTTACAATGATGCCACTGCTATTTGGCTCAAGACACAGCTGTAACATTCAGTTCTTATTATTGCCATCATTTCAATATCTATTTATTGTAAACATAAAGAAAAAAAGTAAAACCATGAAGTAATAATTAGTTAAGCCTGAAAGTTCCCCCATGAACACAACTTTTCATGTCTAGGTGTTAATGGTACTTAGTTCTCGCTAAGCAAGCTCTCCCTGTCTTACTTTAAATGGTACCAGGCTTATCTTAACCTCATGACCACCAGCCATGCTTTCAGAAAGGTGCCAAAATGGTCCTACTTACTGTAAGTGCAAAATTTGTGAAAGCTCTGCATTGTCTTCACTGTTTGACAGTCAGTCCTATGAAGACAGTATGAACTGGAACGTACACCAAAAGGAGATAAACAAATGTACTTTTGATACTGAAAAGGATACATCTAATTCACTCTGCAAGGAAAAGAGATAGACAACAATAGTTACAGTTTGATCTTTCATCTCATAATCATTAAACATTACACATCCCTTTAGAGGATAAAGAAAATCTTCAAAATAGAGATACAAAATTCTAGGGCGATTCAGATTTCTGTTCCGGACTGTACAGTTACATGCTCTTCCCTGCAACACCGCTTTGCCTTTTATGTGTTACCTTCCTCCGTAATAAAAGCTAATGTCCTGAAATTTCTACCTAGAAAAACCCACTGAGGTCACCCACAAGTAACAATTTGAATATACACAGTGCTGTCTGAATGAGTGGGTGGAAAACCAGCATCTCTGATCATGGCAACTCCAGCTCTATATTCTCTCTTCCTCCTTCTGCAAAAACAGGATGATAATGCCAAGTTTACAATTTATATGAAAACACAGTTAAAAGTGTTGCTGCAGATCACTTCAACAGCAAAATCTAGACACAGTCAGACCCAGACCCATGGCTGTGATAGCCGTGGCTGGATATATTAGGAGAGGGAAGGTAACCCCAGGCTTTGGACCCTTAGCACTTCTAACTATTGCTCCAGCCCCAGCAACACAATTCTTCACATAGTCATCATTTCCCTTCTAGTCTTGGCCTGGATTTACCCCAAGTAGTTTTATTCATTTAACCAAAATGTCTGAGTTAGAAGCCCTTGTGGTCTCTCTGCAGTCAACAGAAGAGATGGGCGTCTTTGACAGTTGACTCAGCACGCTTGAGGCATGACTCACTTTCTCAAGATACTCATCGGTCTCCACCGCCAGTAATGGGAGCTTAGGATGACCAAACTTCTAACTTAGACGCCACAGTTAAATGTCTAAATTTAGAAACAATTAATCACAGCATCAGCAGTTAAGACCTTGCACGGTTAGGGTGGAGCTTCCCCGGCCTCTGCTGAAAGAGGGAATCTATCTGCTACCGAGGGAATTTAGTTTGCTAACATGGTTTCCATTCACAGTCTAACCCTGAAGTTTTAGGCAGAGTTCCCACTGATAAAATTGCTACAGTCTAAAGATGCTCTAAACTGGACTAGTTCTAGGCTACAGGCCTCCAGTGAGTGACCCTGCCATTCTTCAATTAGAAATTTTTTATGCATCACAAAAAGTGTATTTTAAGAGCCTGATCAGTTTGCGTTTCCTCAGCATTAAAAAGTAGTTGAAAACATTGGAGTATGTATTCCGAACAGTATGCAGTTTTCCCTGGGTAGCCATTATAAAAGTGAAGGAGACTCAGAATTACATCTCACAAGCAATTTTGAAAGCTTTCCCCCTAATTCTGTTAACGTTCTGATATTTGAATTCAAGCTCTGTAAACTCCACTAGATAAAAATAGGTATGTGAGAATGTTTAAAGCTCACAAGCCTGAAAATAATAGATGACAAAATGTCCTTCTAGAGCAGGACAGTTGTTCTTTCCTTCCCCAGCGTGAGTTTTGTCTCCGTTGTCATCATCTTAATTTGGGATTCTGCTAAAATTCTGCAAATCCTAAACATTAATCCATAATAGTACAGACTTATACTTTCTTGCGCTGTGGTTTCTGCCAGAAACCCCAGCTAGAATTATAGCCCTCTTCTTCAGTGTTCTGCCATTTATCGTGTTATATGCTATTAAAAATAGAACCACAGAATGGCATGAGACTTCTTTAACCACCCCCTTTTTCGGTTCCCCTACTTTTAAACCTTAAATGCCATGGAAAATACAAAAAACTCTGGTATGATGAATTCAGCAAATTTCAACCAACTATCAGTGGTTGGGTTATATTCGTGGTCAAGGAATTATATATACTACATTTATATGTATAAGAACTACACCTATTTTTGCTCTGCCTCAAGTGAAAAAAATAAAAGTTGAGAAGTGGTTGGCAGCTATTAGCTCAATCAGATAAGTAAGATGTGACTGAATTTTATTGTTCATTCCTGCGCTGCCGGGATCAAATTCCATTCCTGGTTATCACTGCTTAGGTTGGGACTGCAATCAACAATTTTAAGAGACAAATTCTGAACTTAGTACAGTCAGAAAGGGATATACTTAGTACCAGCAGTTGCAACATGCTGGTACGATGTTAGCTGAGATAATAGCCTAGAACATTTGCCAGGCATCTGAATAGCGAAGGGGGCAGATGACTTTTTCAAACATGTCCTTGAATTCACAGAGGGAGCTCTGCCATGTCTCTCCTATACTAAATAGCGCATGTTCTAACCAGGATTATGCTGCTGCTTTTTCAAACTTTGTAAAAACAAACAAATCTCCCACCAAAAGGAGCAGTGTCATTTTAACTGGAGCCATGTCCGATGTTGAATCCTGAACAAAATGACTGTCTATATAATAGCTGTTTTATCAGATATCCACTGTTGCATGACAACAATATGGGGAGAACAAGTACAGACTGGTTTTTGAGGTTTCATTTGCTCCATCCTTCTGATCTTGTTCAGTGAGAGTGATGTCAGCTCCCTGCTTAATGCTTACACCATCTTTATCATGAATTAAGTGCACTTGGGGGATGTAATGCTAAGAACTGCAAAAAAGAACTGTAAAGAAAAACCTCTTTATTTCTTTAAAACATATAAAATGCCAGTGGCTAATTTAAGAGCAGATGACCCAAAAAACCCTCTGAGTACAAGCATATAAAACATGCTTTTCTAACAGAAATATTTCTGGTATTCCTTGTCTGATGATTTATAACCCACGTATACTTTTACTTCTCTGAAAAATCAACTAATACTGCTTGGTTTTTTGCTTTTTTTCTGCTTTTTTTTTTTTTACAGTGGTAATATTCATGCTAAAGTATTTAAAATTCTAAATGAATATGAAAAAAAATTTTTCTCCTTTGATATATTCCCTGAAATGACATATTCACTAAAGCTTTGAAAAAGAAATATTTTGTAATAGATTCAATGTCTCACTCACCACTCTGCTGAAGTATTTGTCCAAAACTTCCACAAAATTATGAATTAGTTCATATACTGCCATCTCATTCTGAAATTAAATTAAAACCAAATGGGTATTAAATTGATAGCTAGAAGATGTAACAGTATTCTTTGTATTATTTCAGTTTGTGGTGTGTGAAAAGCAACTAGAAAATAGAGTAAGACCTACAATAAAGTGCCCAAGCTCATGCCACCGTAGGGAGAAGAGGTGTGGTTACTCACTGGAGGTACTGAGAGCGGGGGAGTGCTCAGGGGCAGAAGCTTCAGGCCAGCCACACAAGTAAGCGCTGCAGTACCCGCTGGATTTGTCTCGCCTGGGCTGCTGCCATCCCATTGCATCCTTTGTTCCACCACCATCCAGGTCAGCTAGCTAGATAAAGCTAACTAGGCTATGCCTACCCCTGCTGAAGTCACACCAGCCAGCTGCAGCAGAGGCAGGCTATGCTGCACCAGTAGAGATGGGCGATTTTTGTGTGGTCTAGCAAAGCCAAAAGGATTTGCCCCAAATTGCATGCCATTATAACCCTGACTTGAAGACACTGTGGCAGTCAGCAGCTACCTTCCACACCACCCAATTAAAGTCTCTAATAGTAAGCTTTGAATTAATTTCTGAGAACTGGGAAACAATGTAAACACTACAGCCTTGCAGGCTCAGCCTGAACAGATGAAGTAACAGTACTTGTCAATTTTCAGTCAGATATCTTTTTTTTAAAATACAATAAATTGGCATCTTTCTAGCTGATAATATGGGAATTTTTTCTTTCGCCAAGGAGGTTAAAAACAGCGAGCAGTTGGGAAGTCACCACAGATGAGACAGCTGATCTGGCTGTAATGCTAACATTTGTTGAGAAACCCCACCCTACATAAATTTGTTTAATCAAACATAAATTTAGGAAGTGGAATCAGTATAAGGCTCATGAAGACTGCCTCATGACAACAGTTCAGTCTACTGCTATAGAATGAAGTCAAACATACATTTTCTTTTATACCTCTTTTTATTTCACAGAAATAAAAAGAGGTATAATTTATTTCACAGAAATAAAAACATCTTTTTGCAATGACTCCTTGAAATTCTGTAATTGCTATTGCAAAATTCCATGCTGGAAAAAGACTTGAGTTCTTGCCCATGACTACTACAAGCTCTCTTATATCAAGAGTGTATATAATTTCTTACCTCTGTCTCGTTGATTCCAACGACTACAAAAAGGGCTGCATACTGTCGGTATACCAGCTTAAAGTCCTTATACTCAATGAAAGAGCACTAGGCAGAAGCAAAATAAGTCAAACATAGTAGCCGCCATTTAAGCATAAGACCATATTAACCACAGAGTGCTCAAAGAGCCTAACTAAGCTTTCATGTTTATAAGGCCAACAAAGAACAATGGATTTCCCAAGATCCACCAAACAATTTTGACTTGAAACACATTTAGTAGGATAACTGTTTCACAAAACTTTTCATCTACTGGCAGAAAACATGCTACCATTTTTTAAATGGAAAAACTGGAACATACAGAACAGAAGAGACTTGTTCAGGGTTTTAAGGCAGCCAATACTTCCCCTAAGTTTTCATTTGGAAGCACTTCCAAAAGAGGCAACCTCAAGACAATTTTCATATTTAAAAAAGGATCCATATTTTTACATAAAAATTGAGATTTCCAGACCCAGGGGAAATCCCCATGTCTTTCACAATAAGACAGAAGCCAGCAGATGGTGCTGTTATACACTGCTTTACAAGTCGCCTCCTTTTTCTTAAGTATCATTTTGCTCAGTCCTTGAAATGGCAGCATACCATTGGCTCTTTTGGTGAAGTTTCTCTTTGGAGACACTCTTGCAAGCAGTATGGAAGAGGTTAATTTCTTTAGTCACTGTCAATTCTGTGAACTAAGGTACTTCATAGAAACTGCTATTTTTTCTGAGGTTTGCTAGAATGAAATGCGAGGTCCACTGTTCAAGGACACAACTAATGAAAAATAAAGCAGCTGACTTCAGAACACAAACCAAAACACTCCATTCACAGTCCAAGTCACAGATTTCTCCTCCAATGCAAGTCAATGTGCTCAAAAGTTTTGCGAAGTCTGGTACTTTTATCAAAGAACCAATGGCTCAGTTAAGTGAGCCATGAAAATCTCAACTTTCATCTAGGATATTTTCCAACTTCTGAGTTTTCTTTCTTGCAGAAAGCGTGAACACTTTGTTTGAATAAAAATGCCTAATACGGAGGCCTAGAAATTTGTGTTTCCAGCCTCCCCTGTGTTTTAGATAGTATTTTCATGATTTGGAATCCTTTCTCATAAGTTTTTTGTTTAAACTTGGAGCTGTCAGTACTATCCCCACTACCTTCTGGCAAAGCAGCAGTGATATCTCTCTATCGATCTCTACCAGACAAGCAATAACAAGAAAAAAAAAAATTCTTCCTGGACTTCTGAACTTCTTCAAACAAACACGAGGAATCTTCATGACAGCGACACACAAAACTCCAAAATCTCTGCAAGCCTCAGAAAAACATATTTATCCAATGCAGAATAACAGTTCAACTGATTGAACCCATAATCTAGAAACACAATCTTTTTCTTCATGGGTACAAATGAAATAATGACCTGCAATGGAAACTGATGTATTTTCAGAATTATCGACATGAAAGATGTGAGATGTTGATAAAAGAAAATGGCTAGGGGAAAAACTACAAAACTTACCTGATCCTTTGAACGGGAGAGACAGTTTTTGATTACTTCAGCTTCCAGCATTGTCCGTTTATTAATTTCTACATGCTCATAGTACCTAGAGAGCCTTGTTTGACCTTGTTTGTTTACCATAAGAAAAAATTTTATCATTTCTTTTTTTTTGATCTCAGCGGTAGATCTGAATATGGGGTGCAGGAATCAAGAAGCGTATTTCTGTGAGAGGGGAAAAAAACATAGTATACATAGGACTAATAAAACGGTTCCTAAAAGCTAGCCAGCCCAGATCTGCATATATTTAAGACTGAGTTTATTGCCAACACACAGAATATAGGGAAAAAATCTCTATTCTTTTGCATGCATCCCATGAGTAAAACTCCATTTTTTTCCCCCACACAAATAATCACTATCTAATAAATAATAGCTTTCACATTATCAGGCAATTTAATTTCTTTGTAGGATTTAGGGAATTGGAGGAGTAGACAATTACTTCTTCAAAACCATAAATCTACTCACCATTTTCTTCCCGCATGCTAACTGGTTTGAGAACATTATCAGAAATTTACCCAATACCAAAAGATAAGATTAACACAGCTCATAAGAGCAAAATTGGCCCGAGTGCTTTTTTTTTTTTCCCCCTGACTTGTATTTAACAATTTCATTCATACCAGCCTGACATCAGATTGAAGGGAGAGGGGACAAAGGGAAATGCACGGACCACAACACATGACCACTTCTTTAACACAGAATGAGAGCCTCCTAAATATTTGGATATCAGCAGTATCAGCACACATCTTGAGCTGGACCAGGAGCCACTGAAATCTGTTTTCTCCCATCTAAATTCCCACGCTGACGTGAAAGGTAGATTCTGCGCTTAATGAAAACTAAGCATGGGTCTGTGACAGCTAAGGAGAAACCTGTTCATGTTAATTACTCAAATCAGCTTAATCTCAATCTAAATAAATATTAATCCACACAACACCAGTGAAATATAGTTGTAGAATATAAATACGCCACATGCAATGTACAATGAAAAAGGCTATTAAGAAGAGCACAACATATATCAGAGTCTGCTTGCTAAACAACTGAAATCTCTCATGTTTTGAAAAGCATGCAAGAAAAGGTAAGCTGCAGATGTAATTTTTTGAAATAGAAGTTCTGGGTTATTTTCTTTAATGCCAGAAAACAGTCACTGTAATGTTTTCCATCTGACACTCTACTTGGATCACAGATTTATTGACCCAAATGCTCTTGAGGTTTATGCACTAGAAATACAGCATCTACCACAAAAACTATTTCTTTATTCCAGTTCTGAAGAGTTGCTCCTTGCCTGGTGCAAATATTCTCTCCTAAGGTCTCAGCTCCTATGAGAAAGTCCAAGCTGAAAAAAGGTATCAGGAATCCACAGAACAACACAGTGTAGCTCTTTGTGTAAAAACAGTATTATCTTAATGCAGAAAAACAAAAGGGGAAAAAATACAAAATGCAAAATAGGTCTCTGAGGCAGCAACCTCACAGACATTTAGACATATGCTGATTTTTTATAACAATGCAAGCTGCATAGGTGCTGCCTTGTATTATTAGCAACTTGAATAAACTGGCTATATACCATTCATGGGTGGTAACATCTAAATCTTTCATGACAGTGATACAAAAACCCCCAATATATTGTACTGACATTAATTATTGCTTACTTCTGATTCATACTGGTCACCTAATTATTTTCTGAAAGAAAAGCCACCTCTATTATCATCACTTGGATCTCAAGAAAGCAATCCTGTTTTCCTCAGTGTACTGTGGTTTACTCCATATACAAAGAAGTTTAGATTTCTCTACTAAATGTATCTTCACTAATTAGACCCAATAATGAGAATTCATTTCTTAACTAAGTGATACCTCCAGGGAATAGGAGTCCAGGACAAATCCTCAGGACAAGACAGTCTTGTTTGGAATCGTGACAGTCTTAGAGCTTTCTCACCTCCGCTCTGCACAGTGAAGCCTCTTCACATCTGGAACAGGAACGCACTTTTGTTGATTCCCTCCGACAGAAGAGTCATGGACGCTGGTCAGTGCTGCTGTGGTGGTGCACGTGGCTTGTCCACTGCGCCCCGGGCTTCTGAACTAGCACAAGTGGGTCTCTGAGAAAGAATGAACCAGGTAATTAAGGCAAAAAAGGGCCCAGATAGAAATATATGGTGGGATCTTCACTGTCGGATGGCAGCTTAGGCTGACATTTACGACCAAATGGGAGAGTACCATCTATACAATCTTTTCTGCATTTAATATGTGGCTCTTTTTTCCCCGTTCTATTTTGTATTGCTGCGTTAAGAGTTGCAATAAGAAGAGATGTCTTAATATTTTGAAGCATAAAGAAATGTAAAACGGTGAGATGACGTAGTCATTTTTGATACAAACCTTCCAAAAAGTAAGGATAAGAATGAATGACTCCTTCCAGCTCAGAATGAGGCACTCCAGCAAGGGCCAACCTCACGACTAAAAGAAACCTGAAGCTTTAAAGCTACTTAAAAGAGGGTTGTGGTCTGAAAGACGAACAACCTAAGAAATGCTGCCCATTGTTTTAATGAAAAAAATAGCAAGCTCAGACACAGGAGACCAACAGCTATGCACGTTGTTCCTACCAACTTGAAAACATGTCTGTCCAAGCTAAACAGATGATGACAGCAACACAGACAGCTTTTCTTTTACCTTCTTAGTTTTATGCTTCGTCCTTGTGTTTGGTACTGCTGAAGCATGAATTAATAGTCTTCTATTTTGAACAAGTTGTTTCCAAACTACTTTAATAATTTAGTCATAAATGGTACTGAGGAGCATACAGCCTGTCCTCAGAAATCAGCGCTGAAGTTGCACAAATCCATCCTAGAAGAGTAAAAACCTGAGGCTTAACACGTCTGCAGATATTCAAGCGGGACCTGAGAAAGGGAGGACAGTAAAACCACCCCAGGAGCACTGACAGAGCTGTTGTACTTCGAGTCACTGTTAAGCAATATATAACATAAAAAATATGTTTAGAATTGATACGTATGGATCCTGTTGCAGGATTGGCCCCTAATCCTAATTATTCCTTTATTAACCTAATCTTTCTACATGGTTAATCCCTTTCTGATGTTATGACTGTTGTATCTGCATGCACTCTTATGAATGGCCTGGATTGTTTTACATATGAAAGTACTTTAACCAGATTTTTTTTTTTTTAATCCTCACAAATGCTCTTATCCAGAATGGATATAAAAAGAATGAATCATGTTGCAAGGGAGGTAGAACCATAGTAATACTCAGCTGTGTTACCTGTAATTTATGAGTCAATCATCATTCACAGTATTAGAACAGATGATTAACATCTGTAGGAAAGAGGTCCACTAGTACCACTAGTCATTTTTGTATTTTCCCACCAGCCCTGAAGATAGCTTCCAAAATTTTAGCCAGAAATTTTGCTCTTAGAAATAATGGCACAAGCACACAGTTTTGTGCAGAAACACTGGAATAAAATTACATGTACAAATAGTAATTTTTAAAAAATTTACAGAAAGCATGCAAGCATAGCTGTGGAATCTGACTTTGAGAATAACACCAGTGTTAAAAATATCTTAAGTTTTTTTTTAATTTCCTTTAAAAATAATTCTGAAAAAAATCACTTGTAGAAATAAAACCATTTGCTCACACAATTTAGGCAAAAAAGGAAATTACTGAGTTTTGTTTCTAACAAACAAAGTGTATTTCTTCTCCTTTCATCTTGGCTTTCAGACACAGACAACATTAAAGTTAGTTTTGCATATTTAAGATGTAAATAAACCTGTGAAGTGTAATAAACAAACAAAAAGCATATCTGTGCATGTTGATGGGTGGAAAAACTCCCATTCCTTCATCAAGTTCTATGTATTTGAGAAGCTACCTTTTATGATCAATAATTGGTACTCTACTTATGAAGATAGCTCCATTTCTTCTGGTACAACTCTTACATGCTTTTCTGCGCATTCTCGCGCACACACCTGCGTGTATCCATGCACATACTCACAAATTACGATGCTTTTATGCATACAGAATGGAATGGTTCAAGGGAACTGGTGACAAGATGCAAGCCTTTCATATCTCTGCCATTATTTGATCATTTTAGTAATGAAAAGACATTACTATCTGAAGGCTGTTTGTCAGAAATGAATAGGCTGTCTCATTCCAGGTCACTGGACAGCCATCTGCATCATAAATGTGCTTAGGCACAGAAGACTGGAAGGGACTATCCAAATCCTGAAGGACTGTCAAGTCCAGCTCTCCCCATCACAGTCAACCATGCATTAGAAATTTTGTCCAGATTAGCCTACAGTATATGCTTCATGCATACCCGATCTACAAAACACCTACAAAACTCTATGACAGAATGAAGACTCCCTAAAAACAAAAAACGCAGAAGGTACCACTTGGGGAAGATGTAAGAAGTCATGAAATTGCAAACTTTCCTTCAAAAGAAATTACCTTCCAGAGTGACCAAGTAGTGCGCTCCTTCACCTCCTTTACGAAATATTTCTTCTGTAAGGATAATTTGGCATGCACACAAGTGACATACAGTTTAACTACTGTGATTTAAATATGCGTTGTTACACTGTGTTAGATCTCAGCCTCATTAAAGTATCTCGCAGATAAGTATCTATGAGAGAAAACTGGTATCATGATTGGCTTATGTGACTCACACTGGTAGACTGATGGAGTATGTAGTCATTGATGACTTAAAATACAAGGGCTTTAACTCCTTCTAAACCAGCACATACGCAGAAGACTAAGGACCCAGCCTCATGAAGACAGATGCCTCTTGATTTTACTGCCCCCAAGCAGGCTCATCCTCTCCCTGCCTGTGCAGGTAACTCCAGCCTTGTATTTCAAGACAAACTGAAACCTGCCTGGTTTGCTTCAAAATGCTCAAACAGAAACCATGATGGTTCAGGAACTGCTTCCAGGACATGCCAGCTCTGTAGGCTGTGTAACCACATGAGACACCTCCAAGTTGTCCCTGCTTGTGAGTCACACCCCTAAACGCTGTCTTTTCAGATACTGGTTGAGACCTCTTAGAGAGGCAAAGCCTGCAATACCTGTTCTGCAGATAAAAAAGTCTTAAGTCTCCAGCGTGGCCAACCCAGCAGATT